TTCTTTCTTTAAATATTTTTCATCAGAAAGTAAACTACCTCTTATTGTTGTATGGCTTGTTGTCCCAAATTTCTGGTGCCACATAATACGGCGTCCCAACATACGTATGAGCATAAGCCTTGGAGCTGCAAAAAATGTACCAACATTTCTTTCAAATATAAAAGCTAAAGCAGCAATGTGATATCAGAGGTTCTCTAAATTTGTTTTTCTACAGCACCTGTTCAAAATGCAAGCAGAGCCGAAGTCCCCGAGCTTCACTGAGCCGTCGTCTGTCAAGAAAATGTTCTGAGACAGGAAATGAGAGAAGTGGTGATTTAACATTAAGGAAAACATAAGAGGGTTCAGCTGAGTCAGATGACATCCCACCCAGAAGGAAGGTGTTTATGGACGTGGACTCTTCCCTGTTTCGATAAAGCTATTCAGTTCAATCCTTATATAAATTCATACTTTGATGTAACTCTACCTTAGACTTTAAATCTCTGTGCAGAACCCTCTTATCATGAATGTGCTGTGCACCGGCACACATCTGAGCAAACCACTTCAAGATCTGCAAAGGGAGAAAATTTATTTATTTATTTATTTTTCAGAATAAGGGTAAAAATAAGCACAAGAACAGAAAAACAAACAAATAACAGCTGCAGGCATTTGACCTACATTATCAACAGTAAACTGAGAGGATTTCTGCTGCTGAATCCTCTGAAGTAGATCCCCTCCACTGCAGTACTCCATAACAATGCACAGGAGGCTGTCAGCTGGAAACACACATTTTGTTTTATGTGACCAAAGTAAAAGCTTTAAAGGAAAAGTTTTCACACCACTTGAGCTTTTTTTCATTAAGTCCTGATTTTTATTTCTATTTTATGGTCTAGACTAGGAGTAGACAACTTTTATAAATCAGTATTTCTTCTGAACATGCGGTTAAACTGGCTTACACAGACACAGCAACATGAAACAATAAGCTCTTCTTTTTCTTAGGTTTTAATATAAGTATAAACTAATTTTTTTTTAACCCAGGTCACCCGAGTCGAGGACCAAGGCGCTAATCACTGCGCCACCTGCACGTCCCAATCAGAATTAGCTTGTACACAAAGTTGATGAATAGATGTTCATACAAGTTTAAAAAAAACAATCCGCGAAACGTCTTCAAACTTTGGAAACCAAGTCCAGTGGATTTTTTTTTTTTTTTCTTACTTTTACGGAATGACTATGACCTGGGTGACTGAGAATCTTCATCAGCAAGCTGAATAAATTTCTCAAAGTGGAACAAGAAACTTTTTTTAAGAGATATATCACTGAAAAAAGAAACAATTGTTTTATGTCCTACCCTGCTAACATGAAACAATTGTGTTAAAGTAACTAAATATGTAAATAAGTAAATGCAAAGAAATGCTTGCATTCTGTTTTTCAGTGTATATGAGATGACTATTGGTCAAATTAGAGCTTTATAAAAATTTGTGAAGAAAGTTACTGCTAAAAAAAGAAGAGATCAAAAATTTCTTGTTGAGACACAACATGTGGCTAAAGAGTAACACTGCAAATGTCTTTACACGGAGGTGGCAGCATTATGCTTAGGAGATGTTTTTAATCAATAGGCAGTTATGAGAAGATGGATAGAGATAGATGTTGTTCATTTGTTCTCCTTCAACTTAGCTTTTTTTATGTTAGTATTTCTACAAAAAACAGAAATCAATTCTCTAAAATGGTCTATAGAAAAGATCCCCCCCAAAAACAATGAAGAGTATGACATGTGAAAAACTGATTTTTTCTTTTTCATCTGGAATGTTTCAAATTACCCTCAAATGCCTCCTTAAAAGCCACCACATTGGGATGCTTCATTCTGGACAGCAGGACTGCTTCCTTTCTTGAACTCTGTAGTTTGGATTGCTTCTGTATAAATCAACAAAGAGCATTCCATGTAAATTAGCCAAGTTAACATACATAGAAATAATCTGTTTGCACCCACCTTTGGCAGCTGTATTTCCTTGAGTACATATTTATTCTGAGAGCTTTTGCATTGAACCAGCACAGCTCGACCGAAAGACCCTTCCCCGATCATTCGGAGGTGGGAGTATTTCTCCATTATGCTCTCAAAACGCTTAGAATACAAGAAACTTTCCAAATACAGACAGTCAGTTAGAAAAAAATATATATAAAATGTCCTATTCTGCACAATTCTCCATTCAAAGTTCAAAATTGGTTCACAATTTATTGTAATTCAACCTGGGCCACTCGTGTACTTTGTTGTGTCGCTACTTCCTTATTATTGTATGACGTAGTGTGAGTCGAACTGTACTGCGCTGATTGGCCGCTAGATGGCGGCAGACTACAGTTTCTATTTACTTTGATTGGAAAGAAAAACGTGGCGCAACCTATTCTGATAAACCACAGCATTTAAAAGCATATCACTATTAATTTATATTTTATACATTCTAGGTAGTCAGCTACTTTGTTGTGAAACAATTAAGTATGTTTCCAAAACTTCCCTATTCTTTATTCATTTTAATTTTATAACATAATTGGCTTTATTTACAAATACTTAACGGTTGTTCCTTTTATCCTTCATTTTATTTATTCCATTATGGCTGCAACTAATGATGAATTTGGCAAATAAATAAATCTGTGTATTATTTTTTTGAGCAATCAATTAATAATAAGGTTCCTTAAAGGTTTTCTATTAAATTAAACCAGGTGACACTGAAACGTTTCCACTTAAAGAGTTCTGGAAAGAGCATATTGACAGACAAAAAAGGGTTTTTAAAATCTTAGTAGAATTTCTGCTCTAAGTGGGTTGCTCAGGCAGGTAAAAGCATGTTTTAGAGTCTCTCTACTCCATTTGACGTTTAATCATACTTTCCTACAGCATTTGCTAACAAATAGACGCATATATTTAAACATCCGTAATTTCTAGATAAAAGGTATAGTGGATAAAATTCTTTCAGCTTTGAGTTCTGGGGCGTAAATCTTTTCCATTGTCATTACTTACCAACTTGTATCGATAAACATTCTACATAAAACTGATATTTACAAGCACTAATATCTACATAAATTGAGTATTTGATAAGATTTTATTAAAATTGTTATTTATCTATGATTTCACTGAAGACCTCTAGATGACTTGCAGAGACACATCATTTTCTCTTTACCCCATAACACAAAATCTAGTTCTGAAAAGAGCAGGAATTCTGTACATATCATCTTTGATGTTAGTATATTGATGTGCATAATTAACCACAACAAAATAAAATGTTTTCAAAATTCCAGTTGAGAGTATTACTGCTGCCACCATCTGTATTAGAGGAAAGGAAAATGCTAGGGTTGGCCACCGGGGTGGCTATTGATTGACTAAGGGTGCCCATGCCCACCCTTGGCCTCCCATCTAGCTCTGCCACTGCTTGTATGAGCTATTAGAACTGCAACTTTTAAACAGACCGTGTACGAGGAGAAATCAGCTTGTGCATGCTCTCGCACATGCATTTTTTTCAAAGTGGAGAATCCTCCATAATACCTTTAAGCATTCAAAATCCAATTAAAATGTTCTAACATCATTAAGTTTCTGCATAATTTTCAGAGTGATTTCAAAGAACCTCTCAACTTTCAGAAAACAGCTGAAATATTGATGCCTAGATTCTCTTCACACTTTCATTATGGAATAGAGGTTCAAAGTTGAATCTATTACTACAAAAAGACTACAACTGGGATTTTAAAATTAATCCTCCTGAAAATTTACATTATACAATAATAATATCTGTTCTGAGTTTCTTACATTTGTCCAAATTCAGTCCTAAGGGTTGCTATCTTGCATGTTGAAATTGCATTTGGAAAATAAAAAACAGTAACAGCAGATTAAGTTAAGCTGAGCCAAAAAATAAACAAGCAGCTTCCTCGCAATGAGCAGAAAGTACAAAAGTTGACTTTGAGATGTGAAGTGAAATTTATAAGTACCCCCCCAAAAAAATTACTCAAGTAAAGTAAAAATACTCAAAGTACTTAAGTACAGAAATCAAATAATTTTACTTTTCACCACTGCCTTTGACATGAAGAAGTTATTTCTATCTAGCCTGCTACAACTATTTTCTTTTTCTTTCTATGTGAACCTGAGAAATGTTTTTTGTGATAATTCCAGATAAAGCACAAAAATAAATTACACTTTAAATGATGTTTCTAAGAAATCGTTCTGAGATTTTTAAGCTGATGCATTACCTCCGACCCTTTGCAAAAAAGTAGTATACTCTATTAAGAATACTTAAGTATAAGTTTAGAAAGTATACCGAACAATGTACTTTTAGTGTACTTGAAGTATTACTAAAGTAATACTTCTTCTAACTAAATTGGGACATTTTGAAGTTTAACTTGAGTAAACAATAAAGTAAGCAATAGTATAGTCGAGTACACTTGACTATACTATTGTTAAGTATATGAAATATAGTTTAGAATAAGTAAACTCTAAGTGCACTGACTGATTTTAAGTATGAAATTAGTGCATTCTTTGTATACTTGAATAAACTACTTTTTGCTAAGGGAATCCTACAGCTACGCCCACCATACATGTTCTTACAGCACTAAGTATATCATCACCATTTTCCCAGTTACAGGGAGGAAGTATGACAGTAACCACCACTTTTCAGTCAGAAAAATGGAAGCTGTTATGTTAAACCAAAATTCAGACAGTTGCTTCAGCTTTGCTAGCAGTGGTAATATCCAACATTGTTGAATCTCTCAATCTAAAACAGATACGTTTAAGGTGGAAATCCTTAAGAATCCATGGTCAAATGTGTCAAAAGTTTCTAATCCACCTTAAGGTTCATCAATACCAGCTAGTTTCTATTGATATAATTGACACTAATACACACAGAGCAAAGAAATATTATATTTCTTTAGTGTATTCTATTAACACTATTTGGTGAAATCCTGCTGTGAAAATCCATTTGTCATTACCCAGCTTTGCTTTTATTGACAGCCTACATGTGTAAGTGGAAAAAAATACACCACTGGATTCCATATTTAAAACAGTCATGTTCAGACAAGCTCTGTTTGACTCAGAATCATCTGCATGGTGAGGAGGTATTTTTTGTGCGGGGTAATTTTTACTGTCCCTAGTGAGGGTTAGTGATCTATTTAGCTGCTGACCTCAAACTGTGGATGGAGATGCTTTTCTCCTGGCAGAACTACTAATCACACTTTTAGAAAAAGTGGGCAGAGTGTGTCAGGTTGCAGGGTCAGGCCATCGTGACATGGATAAAAAGAGGGTCTTGAAGGAACTATAATGAGGGCAGCTGAAATGATCCCTTTCCCCCTTCTGCTTTTGCAGCTATGAATGCATGAAAAGGAGCTAACATGCGATGGCATCAGGGTAAAAGGGCTTTAATTGGTCACAGATGGAGAAGCCTGATATTATTTCACAAAGATTGGAACTTTTGGATATGAGCCAAAATGACTGGCAGCTAAATTAGGAAAGATGGAAATAAAATAGAGTCTTTCTGACAGCGGAGTTTCTTGTGGAAACTTCTAATTAGGTCTGAAAAGGCTCAGTTTGGAGGAGGATGTTCAACTGATGGAGCACAGCTCAGGTATTTGGTGATTTATTTATTCATTTTTTAGATAATGTTTTTTTTGTGTGTGCAAACACTTGTTAACTTACTTAGAAATACGACATAGATTCAGGATATATCTCGATTTCTATTCACATGATTGATTTAATTAACATTGATCCTGTTTATCCCTCTTAATTTTTGGTTCATGTTGAGTCAGGTAGTCTTTTGGGATTTTGTGGAACAGAAATTTGCTCTTTGGATATTTGGATATGGAAGAAAAAGCATAACATTTAGTTTGTATATGCAGAGAATAAAAGTATGGTCCATTATTCTTTCATTATTTGGTAAATGGGTTCTGCTCAGTCAGAAAGAAAAGGGTGTCAGTGAACACAAGTGTATAAAGCTTCCACATATTGTCACATGGTTTTAGGTGTGATCCTGGAATAAGTTATCCTGACACATCCTGTAAGTTTAAGGATGATGATCTATTGGAAGGAGAAGGTTTGACCCAGTCTGACATACCGGTATTTAGTTTAGTCTCAGGCTCTTTTTTCAGTTTATCTTTTACATCTCTAAATACTTTCCCCCAGCATCATGCATTCATTACCATCCTTCACAAAGGAAGTGGTGCATTAAAAGTAATGGCGCTGTCACACCGTGACAATTTAGCCAGTGTATATCAATGTCCCAGAAACTGATCAAACTGTTGGCCTAAGGTCAACTTTCTTTTTCCATTTTGGACATATACATACAATATTTAAAATGAGTCCAGAACTTATATCCAACGACAGCCTAACTTAAGCATAACGCACGGCGTATTGCTCATGAAATGTCACAACCAGTGTCCTGAGGGGGGATGCAATGCGGCCGGAGGCACCAGGCCTGCATAAAAGGTACAAGAAGAAGATTTCTCTAAACTTTGCAGTCGCAGTAACAGTAGCTGCTGTTTACCACGTGCCGAACAAGAAAAAAGAAAAAGAAAGAAATAGAGAAGGTTTGCAGTCGCAGCAGATTCAGCATCATGTGTGCTAGGAAGTTTGTTGATCATGGGCGTGAATGTAGAAAGGATCCATCACACCGCCTTTGTAACTTACAATTAATGTGTGTCAATGATCACATAACTTACCTGTAAGTCATGGCGCACGTATGAGCATACAAGAAATTTTGAGCGCACAAAATTTCTTGACATATTTGTTAATGTGTGCCGGCGTACTCATAAGTCACACAAAACTTACCCATAACTTATCTAACATATGCAAGAGTTTTTGCCAAATTTTTTATATGTCAGCATATGCTGGTTAAATCGTCAAGGTGTGACAGCGCCATAACACGCATGTACGATCTGTAATAAATGCATATAGATTTGAGCAAACTGCACACTGGACTCAGCATTTGCACCTAATATTCAACTCGTTCATCTTCCCATTCACCATGACCAGTCTCCCTGTGGTCCCACTGCCTTATTAAAACAAGCTTACAGTGTGATAGTGGAACCAACATGTTACATGATATGTGAATGGATGTTAAAAGGTTTACCCAAATATATATTTACCAAAGCAGTATAATCTAAAATAAATGTTCAATATGTTTTTTCAAGTCAAAGAATCCTTTTATGATCTTTTATATAAAACACTAGATAGATAGAGCCTGAAATACTAAGTCAGCACGATGTCCACAAAATTTAGAAAAAAAACCAAAAGGTAAAGATGAAGATCTCTGTTTTAAAACC